TTTAGTTTTGGTGCCATATTGTTGGGGATATATTCACCTTTACCTTAGTATGATTGACACCACAAAAAAAACATAGAACTCTTAATAGTTTTAGAGGTTAGCATTCTATACTATAATGTGTAAAAAGATTCTAAATCTAATTATTAGATTCTATTTCGAATTCTTAATGTATTTATTTAGAAATAGAAATATAAAAATTGATAAATAAATTAATTTATGAATATTATAATATATTAATATATGTAACAAAAAAATTTATAAATGAAATAAAATAATAATAATAATAGAATAATAAAATTAGGTTCGAACAGAAAAAACAATAATTTCAAATTAGATGTCTTTTAATAGATTTTCTATCTAATTAAGATGTTTATTATTGATAAACTTAAAAAAGAAATCGGAAATTATAGTTATGTTCTATTCTAGAAAATTCAATATTTATTTAAAATTCTATTCTACATTGATTATGAATAGTTAAAAAATGAATAGTTAACAGATAAAATTTATTGAATTCCTATGCATGTTGCTTAGCTCAGAGGTTAGAGCATCACATTTGTAATGCGATGGTCATCGAACTAGGGAGAAGGATGGATTGTTAATGTGGATGATTTGGAAGATATAATTTGAGGACATATATGGTTAGGTTCCTTTTGTATCTTTGGTGGAATCTGGCATATCTTAACCGAACCTTTTGCATGTGCTCACTGTGCACTTGTATGGTCTGGGGAGGCTTACTTGTCTTATAGTTTAGGTGTTTTATCTGTTTTTAGTTTCATTGCTTGTTGCTTTGTCTAGTTCAATAATGACGCTTATCTTAGTGAGTTTTATGGGCTTATTGGATCACAAGTTTCTCAAGCTCAAGCATTTACTTTTCTAGTTAGAGGCCAATGTCTTGGGGCTATGTTCTGCTCAAAGGTCTACGAGTTTAGGTAAATATTTAATGCGTTCCCCTACTAGAGAAGTTATTTTTGCAAGAGAAACTATGCGTTTTTGGGATGTGCATGCTCCTTGGTTAGAACCTCTTAGGGGTCCTAATGGTTTGGACTTGACTAGGTTGAAAAAAGACAATACAACCTTGGCAAGAATATTGTTCTGTGGAATTGTTTGGAATTGCTAATAATATCCACCTATAAGTTTTGTTTTCATTGAACGTTTTACGATTCAAAACAAGATATCTGCACGGACCGGATGAGCTTAACTGCACGACCATCATAGCCTCCTTTTAGGGAGGCGGTCATGGTGCTCCCTTAGACTAGAAGATTTTTGGTCATTGACAATAAATCATTAGACGTTGTCTGTGAAGGGAAGAAGACAAACAAAATAAGGGTGAGCGAAAAAGAGAGGGATTTCAGGGTCTCGATTACTTTTTTGGAAGATGAAGTTCAATGGTTGCTTGGAGTCCTACAGGAGTTTTACTGGACCAAAGATGGGAAGGCTTGGGCTGAAATAGGTAGCAAGGAGTGACAATTTACGGATGGCCATGAAAGGTAATAGGCGGGGGAGGTTTCTAGTCATCACAGAAGTGAAAGGACAAATAGTGAGGCACATTTTTTTATTTAAAAGCCCCATATAGGCTAGTGGATGGTGGAGGATGATGGTAGCACTATTCGAAATTGAGGGAAGGAAATGTGAGGCATTGGGGAAGTCTAGGAAGGTTGAAACAAGAATCCAAAAACATTTGCATAGCCCTAAAGAAGGTCGAGAAAATCCACTGATTATTCTATCATGTTCAAATTGCATAATGAAGCTGAGGGTGAGACTGAAGGTGAGGAGGGAGAGAAGTTTTGTCGATTCAGTGAATAATGACTGACGATAGGGGGGTCAGGTAAATGGGTCTGGTCAAATTTAAAATTCAAAATTTAAATTCCGGTTTTCCTTGAAGCGTAGGGATGAGGTGTCATTTTGAGTATGTTATGGGCGTGAATGAGCTTCGGGTTGGAGAGCCTAATTTCAAGAGAAAAGTTGGACCGAGCATTCAATTCACATAGGCCGAAAAAAGAAAATGGATCCAACAGGCCAATCCAGGGCAACGGATAATAAGGATTTGGTATGGGTCCATCCGTGTTTGGAGAGTTGTGACCCGAAATGAAAAGCAGAAATCTGCATCGCAAATGAGAAGCCCCCACTGTTGGGACGACAGATTCAGAAACAGATTCCAATGGTGGAGAGGCTAATAGAGGGGAAAGGGGTCTACTGGTGCTTTGGAGTAGTTAGGAACGGGTAAGGAGGTCGTGACAGAAACTGAAATCTTGTTGAATGGGTTGGAGGTGGCGGAGAAGGATGACGAGGGATTCATCCGATCTTAAGTGGTGGTTCAGGTGGCGTGCAACGTGATTGTTAAAACGTCTGGATAAGACGATAGGGCGGTGCTGCACAAATGAGAGGTGATAGTGGAGGTTGGGATGAGGGAGAAGATAAGAGGTTTGATTGAGGAAGAAAAATTCAGATGTGTTTTCCTGAATATCCAATGGATTAGTAGTTTGCTTGGGGTTACCTTAAACAGTTTAGACGAACAGACTATGATGCTCTTTATAGAGATAGAGAAAAGAAAGGAGAAAGTGAGAGAGGAGAGGTTAAAATCCAAAGCAAAAAAAATAGACAGGGGTAGAGGGTTATAGAGAGTTGATAAGATTGTAGTCAAACAAAATTATGACAGTTTAAGGAAAGGGGAAAGAAGGAAGAGGGGTGATTGACAACACTTAAACTATGTTTGGTCGTATTGTATCATTGAATATTAGGAGAATAAACGACTACAAGAAGAGACAAATGATAAGTAGTTGCATGAATAGGTGGAAACTAATGTAATATGTCTTCAATAATCTAAAATGGAATCCATCTCAAGTGAGATTGTCTGTGGCCTTTGGAAGACTAAGCAAATTGGTTGGAAGAATCTACCTGCGAGGGGGAGGTTTGGAGGGAT